TTCCTGCGGTGAAGAACAAAGAATTTTTTTTTTTTTTTTTTTAAATAAGAACATATCCTTTCACATAAATTAAAAGCATACTTCTCTGGTGGACTCAATGCAAACCATTCTGAATCTTTTATCAGGGATTTGGACAAGGGAGAGACAGGTTTCTTGGTGAAGTGTTGCTCAAGCACATCTATGTCAGATTGCTCAGTCTCCCAGCCCCCTCTGCTTTCTGAGATAATTCTAGGCTGCAGTGTTATCTGTTCATTCTCTTTCTGCAGTTTCTTGATCTGGGCCCTCTCTGCTTCTATCAGTACATATAGCATCTCTGCCTTCTAATCTTTTGTTCTGAAATTCTGTTCCTCCTTATATTGCCATTCATCCTTCAACTTTAAATCCATTATGAAGCCATTCTCTGTTCAACACCTTATGATGGGAATTTGTGCTTACTCTGGGTTTATTTATAGTACAGGCTGACAGCAACACAAATGAAGACTACCAACTTTTTATGTCACCCCTGGTCCAATCTGAGTTTACTATGAGGTCATATTTAAACCACTGAAGATGCCTGGCATTTCATCTCTATGTCTTTTTTAAATACTATTTATGATTAAGAGCATGGGCTTTGAAGCTTGACAGTGCTGTTTGAAACCTAATTCCACCATTTCGCAGGTGTGTGACTCAGGGCAAGCAACTTAATCTCTCTATATCAGTTTCCTTATCTATAAAATGAGATATAAGACAAAATTCTACCTCTTGGGATAATAAAGAAAATGTGAATTAAAGAGCTTGGCACAATGCTTGAGATCTGGTAAGTTATCAATAAATGCCGGTTGTCTATCCTCCACAGGTCAAGCCCCTCTCTATAAAGTCTTTCTAGTTTACTCTGTGTAACAGTGATTTTGCCTTCTTCTGAACACTTAACATTTTTTATTTCTATAACTCATTTGAAAATCAATCATGGTTTACAGATATCAATCATATCTGTATTCATATATCACTTAAATTTTTGATGCTGAATTTAGATTCACAAACTGGAATTATAATTTATATCAACAAATAAAATGATGTATCTATATTATCAAAGGGATCTGATAGCAAATATTGGATCTCACTGACCTCTTACGTACATTTTTATCTGCCTATGTATACCTATTTTGAGATTTTAAAATGACTTTTATTTCTTAGTACATAGCATCTAGCACAGTACTTAACATTAGACTTTTTGATCCCAAGTTCTCATAATTAATGATTTAATTATCTTTATCATATAATATCTGAGCATCTTTCTCTTATATTCCCTATAACACTGCATCTATTTTTTATTCAAATATTTACCAGTCTTCCTTGATTGCATAAGGATATTTGTTTCATATGCCTGTCCCTGGTTCTCATATTTTGTCCTATTAGTGTACTTTCATTATATTATAATTATTCATTTGTATTTTTTTAAGGTCAGAGAAGTTTTCAACTTTGCAGCCCAAGCCTCATCTCAAAGACTAACATAGGTGCTTAATAAATACTAACTGAACAGATTGTGAGCTTTTGTTGGAAAAGGGCCATGCCTTATAACGCTTATGTTCCTTTACTGCATTAGGACAGAATTCAACTCATGGTGGATCTTCAATGAAAAGGTAAAGTTGGTGGGGGAAGAGGGCTAATTTCAAATTCCATTTTCAAAGGAGACAGACACACAAAGAAGTGAGAATAAAAATTGCCTACCATCATAGACTCTGTAACAGACCTCCCCTTTGTAAGACAGACAAAACACCCAGGTAAATCAAATTATGGGACTCTCGCTCTCTGGTAGCTTGCTCAGAGTTCTAACCCCTTTACTACTGTGTCTCTCCATTACTGCAGAGAAAGGAAGACCAGAGCCTTTCTCAAGGAGACCACATCTTTTATCTTTCAGAGGAGAAAACAGTGACAGTTCCAGAACTTTTATATGTAAGGAGCTTAGTAAAGCCATCTGGTTGGGTGGGGATGAAAGGGCCGGGAGGAAACTAGGAAACATCCAGGAGCGGTCCCTTCATGGAAACGTTCTACTTTAGACTGTACTAACAGATGACTGAAAACAGATTTTCTAAAGATATCTGTCCTCGTGTTTTATAAAAGATTTGGGAGATGTCAACTGTCCGCCTTATAGATGATGATGATTTCGAGTTGGTTGGACGGGAGGCGAGGGACGAGGTGAAAGGGCTGCAAATGAAAGCCAAACTCGACCTAAGTCCTATGAAATCCTACCCGTTTGCTCCCTTGACCAATGCTAGCATCTAAGATCTCTTCTGTATCGCCACCTCCAAAGTCCTGAGCCTGTTCCCAAGTGTCCAATTTCATCACTGCTTTCTTTCGTTCCCAGGGACGAAGCATTCCTTCTCCGCTTTTACCCTCACCACTTCCTTCCCCTTAAGAAGCCGACTCACCCCTTCCAAAGGCCCAGAAGACCTCAAAACACACGAGCCAGACTGGTTTTGTAGAAAGCCCTCGTTTGGCCAGCGAGGCCCAAGGAGCGTTAGAACTGGAACTCCCAAAATGCTTAGCTTTCTAACTACCGCGCAGCCGCAAAAGGGAAATACTGGCTCAAGAACGGCGGGGATTGTAGTTCTCTATTCCGAATAAATTAATATTTCGAAGGTTAGTACGAATTTCGGAGGTACGCCCTTCCCCCGCCCCGCACTGGGCCTCTGTAAGATGGAAGACCAAGAAAATAAACATCGCAGCTCAGAGTCCTGAGGGGAAAAGTAGCGGAAGGCACAGCATTGAGTACCCGTCTTCCTATCCAAAGTCGCAGAGCCAAGCTAAAGGCGGCGCTGCCATCCTTCAGCGAGGTTCTTCTCCTTCTCTTAAGGTTCTCGGGATCTTGTTTGCGATTAATTATGACGTCACAGTGAACCGTGAGCCGGAACGCGTTGACGCTCTAGCCCGTCTCGCGCTCGCTGCCTCTCTATCCCTCCAGAGCTGGCGCTCTAGCCAGCGGAGTTGGCTGGCTCTTCTCACCTGGCCCAGGAAAACCCTAAAGTCCAGTGGTACTCGACTGGGGCTGGGAATTCCAGACGTTCGGGCTCCTTGGTTGCAGCGGAACGAGACGTGGGTGGGAGGAGGTCCAGTAATAACAAGAATGACCCCTGAGTGGGGAGGAGGCTACCCTCTTTTGTTAATAAACTTCTCTTTCTCCTTCTCAGCCCTCGACCACCTGTCTGTCATGGACCTCGCTAGCACCGGCTCCAGTTTTCAGTCGGACCTGGATTTCTGTCCGGATTGCGGCTCCGTCCTGCCTCTGCCAGGGACTCAGGATACAGTCACCTGTACTCGCTGTGGTTTCTCCATCAACGTGAGAGGTAAGGGGCTTCTACGCAGCGGCCCGGGCTGTAGACCCAGCATGGGAAGGTTGGAGGCTTGAGGACCTCCGAATTGGTTCTATCGGTGGGGGACTCTAAAGCAGGACCTCAGGCACTTAGTAATTTTCGTCTCTGGACCAAACTTGAAGGGAATTTGTAAGGCCACCTGGCCTAACTGAGAGGGAGTTGCGGGCGTCAGCTCCCTCCGCTTGTTTGTACAACCAGTTCTCACTGCCTGTGCAGACTTCGAAGGGAAGGTTGTGAAGACTTCATTTGTGTTCCACAAACTGGGGACAGCCATGCCTATGTCGATGGAGGGAGGACCTGAATTCCAGGGACCCGTGGTAGGTTAATGACATCAAGGTTGGGCCCCCATAGGGAGGGTAGGAAATATATGAGGGGTGATTGCTGAGATCTGGAGAGTTTTGTACCCACTTTCAAGAGAAAAGAGGGGCCTTTAGAGCAGCAATGTCCGAGGAGTGTTATAGCCTGCTTCCTGTGGGAAGTAGGGAAATATAACTAGGTCTCCCTAACCCACCAGTTGCTTCCCAGGTTGACAGGCGCTGCTCTCGATGTGGTCATGAGGGAATGGCATACCACACCAGACAGATGCGCTCGGCGGATGAAGGGCAGACTGTCTTCTACACCTGTACCAACTGCAAGTGTGTATCCTTCCCCTTGCCCTTTCTCAGTCTATTTGCTAACTAAACAAATCCAGGGATTTACTTCTTGTACTGAATAAACAGTTGTTTCTTTTGGTCCCATCCATTTCTGTAAGTTCAGGTAATAGATTTGTGGTTGTTTATATTTCTAAAAATTATACTTATCTTTTTATTAGCCAGTGAAGTAAACTTTTTAAAATATTTAAAAGGAAATGAAAAATACAGAAGGCAAGTATTGCTTAGTGTTCAGCATGTTATATTGGAATCTTCCACTGCACTCAAGTTGTACTTTTGGGAGAATTAGTTGTGCATGATTTAAAGAACATGGGCTCTCTGAATGGTATTTATAAACTCCTCTTTGTCTCTGGTGTTCTGCATTTTCACTACACTTTATCAAGATGTGGCTTTCTTTCATTTATCCTGTTTAGGATTTGGACTTTTTGAAACTGAAGATTGATTTTTCTTTTATTCACATCATCTTTAGAAAATCATCAGCCATTATCTCATTGAATATTGCTTTCCTCCCATGTTCTCAATGCTCACATTCTGGAACTCTAATTATAATTAGCTATTTATTAGACTACTTATCCTCAGTTTCTCTCACCCTGCCTCTCATATTTCCATTTCTATCTATGCTGCTTTGGGTAATTTCTCCAGGTCTCTCTTCCAGGTCACTGAGGTTTTTTTTGTTATTTTACGTTAAAAAATTTTTTAGAGTTCTACTTTATCACTTTTCTAATCTCATTTTTAATAATTCCCAATTCCTTAATCATATTTTAAATTGCTCCTTTTATCCTTAAAGTATATAGTACATTTAAATATATTAAACATGGTTATTTATATTGTCTGATAATTTCAATACCCAGTTTTTGAGAGTCTGATGCTGCTGTACATGATTTCTGCTCTCATGGTGCCTTTTTCTTTGTTTTGTGATTTTTGACTGTAAGTTCAGTTTGTTTGTTTTTGAATGAGAATTCTTTGAGGCCTCAGGAGAAATCGGCATTTGTGTTTCCTGTTCAGGTGTCTTGAGGCACTACCAAGCCATAATCACTTTAAATAAATTCTTGGCTCCAGGTTTTTTTTGACTACATAGGTAGTATGAATTTGGGTTGCAAATCGATGTAAGGGCCAGCTTATGGTTAGAAAATCTCAGGGGAGATATTTTTCTTCCTCTACCGAGATAAATTCCCCTCTATAGAGGTGGAATTTTTTTTTTTTTTCTTATTTACTTTTACACAGAGGGGGAGGTCCCAAATTTATGCAGAGTATCTCCTATCAGATACTGTAGCTTTGTCTCTGGTTCCTCCATGTCAGAACAGCAAGGGGCACCACAATAGCAGGGGCATCAGTTTTAACTTACTTGTTTAGTTTCCTGGTTTTACATTATTTTACTCTCTACTTTTTTGCCATGTCATCAATGGATTAAAAATATTCGTTAGATATATCTTTTGAGAGTATTTTTCCCAGTCTTACCTATTTAACTTTTTTTAAATGAGCAGTTTTCAATTTTTACTAGGTCTAGTTTCTCTCTCCCCGCCTCTTTTATGGCTAGTGCTTTTTGTGTCCAAAAAGTCTTTGCATACTTCAAGGTCGTAATTCATTAGATATATTTTTAATCCCAGCATTTTTAGTTGGCTCGAAGTTGGAGGATTGTTTAGGGGAGCTAGTCCTTCCAGTGTCAATAAATAAGTCTTTCCTTGATTATTTGAATATTTCATCTTACACTGCTAGAACATTTTCCTTTGGTCAAATATAACAAAGAAATCCTTTCTTCCTCCATAGGTTCCAGGAGAAGGAAGACTCTTAATTTTTTTTTCTGGATGACTCAACAATCCTTCCCTCTCCTCTTCCTTTGAAGGTGATGGACATTGGTTCTTAGATCTCTTGTCCATCCACTGGTTGCAGTATTTTGCTCCCAGAAGAGAAGCATCTCTTCATCATGTGAAGATTACTATTGTCCCCAGGGTACTCCTATTTCAGTTGAGTTTTCCTATTAAAGTTATATTTTTCTGTAAGACCTAGACATATGTATGTTATTTATACTGTCTTGCTCCAAAAGGAATTTAAATGAGCTTATATTGTTCTTTCAACAAATATATCAGTAACAAAGAGTATAAATTAGTACAAGAAAGAAAAAGGAAAAAAAAAAAAGACAAAAAATGGAGCCAGAAATGAGGCTAATATAAAAAAAGCAACTGTAAGTATTTCCTCACTATC